GTTACAAGTTTTACAAGTGTTTTGGCGGGAAAAATTGAGGGATCACTTTTCCCGCCAAAAAATATTTTGTATTTTGTGGACCTAATTTTGTTATATTTCCTTATATATTTGTGATATCTTTTATTAAAAGAAGGGTAATTTAGTCATTTTGTACATAAAAAGGGGTATTTTTAAAAATGGACAGCCAAAGGGGGCATTTTGAAAAGGGGTATTGAAAAAGGGGCATTTTTGTGAGTCTCCCTTTATTTTTTGGTTGGCAATCAATTTCAAACTTTTCTTTTCCAATTATTTTATAGCTAGCATATCTTATATTTTGGTACTAATAATAACTACACCTTTTATAAGAACTAGGATTCAGGACCCCCGCGATGTCCCGGGGGAATATATTTCAAAAATCATTTAAAAAAATATCAAACGAAAAAATAATAATGAATTGTAATAATTTTGAATTTTTTTAATAACAAATCAATATATATTCTACAAAAATTATGATAAAGAAAACCCTCACAAACATTTATTTAGTATATTAATATTAGAAAAACAATAATTTGTAACTAAAAAACTATTCCCAAGTGCAAAAAGCATCAACTTATAAACTAAATATTACAATGGTTTGATAAATAAGCCTAAACGTTCAACGTCAAATAAACCAAATGCTATTGTGTTAAATTAAACGGCAACAACAATTCATTTAAATATATTTTAGTATTTAAATATTTTTTAAAAATATGACGAACTTATCCGAGAAACGCAACCGTAAATATCAAATATTCCAAAAACTGCAACGGTTCGTCAATTATACCAAATGTTGCAATAGTTCATCAAATATACTAAAGATAACAATGGTTCGTAACACAAAACCAAAAGTTGCAATAATTCGTCAAATAATCCAAATGTTGAAACAGTTCAATTAAATAGTTACAATCTCATTTAAATACATTTTAGTAATTAAAAATTAAGAATTTAAATAATAATTTATGAAAAGTTACACCGAAAGACGCGGCGGTAGATAATTAAATGTTATAGCTATTTATAAAATAAACCAACAATTGCATTTGTTCGTGAAATAATCTAAATATATAAACCAAAGGTTGCAATTGTTCGTAAAATAAACTAAATATTGCAATGATTCGACTAAGCGGTTTCAACTGTTTATGAAGAGTTACAATAAAAAACGCAACCGTAGAAAACATTCCGAATGCAATTTATAAAAAAAAAAACATAACCGTAATATATATATTTTAATTAATAAAAATATTTACGAAAAGTTACGATAAAAAGACGCAACAGTTCACATGTGCAAATGGTATTTATTAGATTGCTATTATATATAGATTAAGAAACAATAAAAAGTAACTAAATAGTACTCCCTCTGTTTCATATTATAGGATGTTTTACGCATTTTATTTTGTTTCGCAATATAGGATTTTTAAGAGTAACAGTTCAAGTTTCTATGCAAAAAATTAAATTTGTATAATTTGTGACTATTTAGATTCTGCAGTAAAGCATATCATTGGTCAAATTATCTTTAACTATTTATTAAATTATGTTTTAATGTAAAATATCTAAAAACTAAAATAATTAATTAGTTTTTTAAACTTTGTACTTTTAGGCAAAACATCCTATATTTTGAAAGAAAGAGAGTATAAAATTGCATTAATAAATAAAAAAAATTAAATAAATCTGAGGTTTGACAACCAAAAAGCAAATATCAATAACCAATGAGAGAATAAAAATAGATAGAGAGAGTAAATGCAATTTCAAATCCTGTTCATCAAATCATTCATTCAACTAGTCAAATTAAAACGTGAGCTTGCATGTGGTTGAAGCTAGGGAAGAAAGTGACAACTCATTAATCATCTGTTGTTTCCTTTGAGGACCAATTAAGACTGTTGCAGTCTTTAAGCAACGAGCATTGTTCAGGATATATGCGACCACATCTATTTCTTCTTGTCTTCCTTCACACCCTATCCACTTAAAAGTTTCCAGACTCGTCACAAAACATTGAGGAACACAAACTCAGTTGATTCTTCCAGTAAACCATTGGAGTCCTACTAATAGGTGAATGTTCCTGAGATAAGAAAAAAGTAGAGTTGGATTAAAACATTGTGCATTAAACAAAATAATAGATAGTCGAAGTTTTTAGTAAACTCACATTGACATAGAGCTCGAGGACTTGTAGTTTAGGAGCATTTTCGAGCAATTGGACAAGTAATTTTGACCAATATGTGTTGCATGTGCATAGCTTGAGATGTTCAAGTTGATTGAAGACAATTCCATCAGTATACACATCCTGCACATATGATTAAAAACCAAAGATAAATTAATACATCTAATATGATATCTGTTGAAGTCAAATGGAAAAATATTGATTACCTCTACACTGTTGACCTTTAAGCATAATGAAAGACGCTTGATGGATGCGATAGGTTCGAGTAACTTTGTGGTGTTGGGGAATACAACATCGATATGTGCTTGCTCTAGCTTAGGCATGTTTTCAATGGAACAAGAGGGGCGATCATCATGATCCTTAATTTTTAAATACCTCAAAGAAGGAGTATCTATCTCATATCCATCGAAATTAGATACATCACCTATCTCAAGGGATAAACTCTGTAGAGACGGGACACTGACACTAAACTTTTGCTTGCTGTAACATCGTTTAGTATTAATGTGTTTCAAGGTCAGATTCTCAAGAACAGGGCAGTTGGATAGAAATCGTCTAAGAGGATCTTGATTATAGTAGTACTTCACACTTTGAAGTTGCAAAGTTTTCAGAGAGGGAAGAAAAACCGTACGAGGGATACACTCTGGAATACACAATGAAATATCCTCTTCGAGTTTCAAGGAAACCAGCGATTTGCAAGTATACAAGTGAATCGGCAATACGGCTCGACGCCACACTCTATCAGAAGAATAGGCAACACTCAGCTGACGTACGCCGCGAGAAACTGCGAATCTAACCCACGATTCGATATCTTCACATTGAAACGGTGCAGTACTAAACTTGAGAGACAAGCTTTCTAAGTTGGACTCTCTATCTATTTGCAAATTTCTTTTAACAAAACGCCGGAACCTCTTACGTGATTTAGACGATTTAGTTTTGCACTCGGTGTCATCGTACTCAAGTTTTAGCACCCGCTTCCAAAGATACTTCCATTGCTTAGACAAAACACTTGTGCTTACAGCAACTTTCGTTGGAAGAAACGATAGAATTTTTACTAGCAATTCATCTTCGGAAACCCCACAGATCTTGTCCATATCTTTGGAAACCACAAAATTCTGTTACCGTCGACAACAACAAGGGCCTTAGAAGAAGAGACGGGTTTGTTTTTTTCTGACTGACCAAGACGAATACAAGGAAGAGCCGAGGAATATATAGAAGAGAAAGAAAAAAAACCCTAGAAAACTTCAATTGTCAAAGGTTGGGGATGATAAGTTTTAGTATAAAAGGGGATAATTAGGTTTCTCCGTAATATAAATTAGTTTTAATATTTCCATTTTATAAGCTAATTAAAAATAGAAAATTTAATTTCATACTAATTAAATGGTCACACTCTAATTTGTTTTATTTTTTTGTGGCAGCAAACTTAATATATAGATATGAACAG